ACCCACACTATGTCTACAGAGCCTCTATAGATAAGGAAGAGTATAATGATAATGCCGGCAACAAGGCCCCGGCTATACCTCAAACATAATACACAAAAGACAAAAGATACATGACCCCGGAATGAAGTGGGGCTCACCAAGTCAGCTGGGAAGAAGGTGTGCTGCTATCACTGATCAATACCTCCTGCTGTAGAACCACCTGCATCCATTTAAAGATGCAGCGCCCCCGGCAAAAAGGACGTTAGTACTGTCGAATAGTAGTAGTATGAAAACCAAACACCAATTTAAGAATTTAGAAATACAATATGAATATGATGAATCAGGGCGACAATAGCATGATATAGATAACCGTTTAAACCAGAGCAAGCTTATTAAGAGCTATCAATATCATTTATAGAATTTAAGATGAGATCCTCTGTAACCATCTTCACACAAATCGGCCCCGCTGCCTCACCCGATGTATGCAGGTGGAGGTGTAAGTACAATACCACAACTCTACTCAAGCGGCCCCATCGCCTCACTCCAATGTATGCGGGTGGATGTATAACCACAGTACCAAGAACCTACACAATGCGGCTATACTGCCTCACCCCAATGTATGCGGGTGGAAATACATCAACGATACCAATACCAACACAAAGCGGCTATGTCGCCTCACCCCAATATATATGTGTGGGTGGTGGTGCCACAACAATACCAACACTATTCACAAAGCGATCGTACCGCCTCACCCCAATGTATGCGGGAGGAGGTGAAGTCCCACAATACCATAATCTCTACACAAAGCGGTCATGCCACCTCACCCCAATATATGCGGGTGGAGGTGTATCACAATCACAATCTCTGTACTATAATCCCCACACAAAGCGGTCATGCCACCTCACCCCAATATATGCGGGTGGAGGTGTATCACAATCACAATCTCTGTACTATAATCCCCACACAAAGCGGTCATGCTGCCTCACCCCAATATATGCGGGTGGAGGTGTATCACAATCATAATCTCTACACAACTTGGCATAATAACTTTCACATAAATCACAACTTGAAATTATAACATGTGGATACACAATCCATAGTTTGGAACACATCCTCAATTTATAATGCACTATGATCAGAGCAAACACGAATTGAACATATATCTTTATCACAAAACTTATCGGAATACTTGATTTGTAATCAACATCTTGGAGCTTACATGGATAATGGGAATTCCAATTTTTAAAGAAGAGTTTAGCCAACATACCTCACTTGAGCTTCTTTAAACTCTAAAATGTTCCGGAATTCTTAGCAACTTCTATCTATTGTAGAAATATAACAAACTGAACCAAAATTAGGAAGATGCTCATGGTTCTAGCTCATTTGAGCATTTTATCAAACACTAGGTGTGCATTACGGTTTCAAGATCCTTTTATGGAGGATTCCCTAAACCCACAACCCAATCTTTACCATTTTTAGCTCAACAATCTTCCTACACCATTTGATAACACATGCATGTAAAATAAACAACTCTCATGCCCAAAACGTATCTTGCTAATTACCCATTTCTAGACAAAATTGGAAATTGAGGGTTAGGGGTGTAGAATCTTTCCTCTAGGATGAAGACCTGGTGAGTTTCCCTTCTTAAACTTCCAAAACTTGAGCAAGAATTGAAGAACAATTATTAAAGAACACCTTCTCACTCTAGGACACTCTTTCTTACTCTAAAAATAACTGATTTTAGGCCAAAGTGAATTAACCCCTCTCTATACCCAGTCTTGGGGTTATTTAATGAGTTCCTACGTGCGCGGCCGCGCATTGGCCGCGCACCTGAGGCAGAAACTCTCAAATATGCGTGGGCACACATCTGGGCGCGCATATGACACAGGTCCAATAAAATGGCCATAACATTCTGTATACATATCCAAATGACAAAAGGTTTGATGCGTTGGAAACTAGATTCAAAGGGCTTTACTTTGATAGGTAGATCACCACCTAAGTCATTATAGTGAGGGATTTATATTCATTGGAAGTTGGGTCTTGTGCCAATTGAAACATCCTTTCCAGTTAATGTGTCCAACTTGTTCCACACACGCTCTTGCCATTCCCAAAACACCTTAGTATGTTCAAACACACCCTAAACATACATTATCAATTCAACATGATGTGGCTCTATCCCATAGGTCTCCTTTAATACTCAAATACGTTATTCCCAAATACCGTTGGCGCACTTTTAAATCTTAATTTATTATAAAATATTTATGGGGCCTTACGGCACAGATATGTCGCCTATCCAGAACATTATGCAAGCACGATATCGGGGAGAGGTAGTAAGAGTTCCCGGCCAAGATGTTATTGATAAATAAGTGCGAATGGACACTTGATACATCAGGAGCCATTGCAAGAGGTAAGTTAAGACAAAGTACATATACCAAGAGAGATTACGTGGAATATATATATGAGAATGGACCAACGAGTAGTTAGTAGTTAATTCGGGAAGAGCCTAGTTATGGCTAGACAAGAGGATACAAGCAAATCAGCAGATCATGCAAGATAAATGTAGTAAACCCAACATAGTGAATTCAACCTCGCAGATATGACATATTGATCCTTGAGAAATATTCATATAGGAGTCAGGGTAGTTAAAGGTACCGTATAAGTATTACGAAAATAAAAGAGAGTGCCACTAGGGAGACAATTTAAATTTTAATTCAGAAGCAACCCTACGAGCACAGGGGCGCAAAGATAAGTAAATAAGGATAATTATAGGCAAGTAAGAACATCAAAAATTCCTTCGGGTATACGATGTAATAAGCTCGCAGCTTTACAGGAGTCAGAGGGTCTCCCCTAAATACTATAAAGAAAGACTAGCTGGGGATATAGGGAAGAAGGCTTCAACTTAAGCATAGTGACACGAAGAAGAAATGGTCTTGTAACAACAGTCCCACTACAACATTTTATGCACTCCATAAGAAAGTGGCACCTATCCTGGCTAATGAACGGGAAGAAAAAAAATCAAAAGTGATATTTGAGATCATAGGAGTTACAGAAAATTCCAGTATTCGTGGGAAATAAGATAAGCCAAGTATTCATGCAACAAGTGGCAAAACGACCAGGAAAAGTAATTGCTTACATTTAAAGACAACTGAGAAGGCACGAAAGGAAATCTATAGTGCTAGCAAATTAAAGGAAGGTTGCGAGAAGTATAAATAGATAGGTGTAGGTCGCAAGCTAAAGTATGGTAGAGCGATAATGTTTTAGGTAGAGAGGAGTAAGGATAAGAAAAGGTGAGTGAGAATGTGACAAGAATAGGTAAGGCATCGTGATTAAGCCCATCAAATCAAGAGAGCTGATGGTTTCCTTAAGTTATAGAAAGTTCAATATCGCCTGAATGAACTTGGAGGAGACTAAGAGTAGGAGCAATTAGGAGAGATGAAATACTGTCGTGGTAGTAGAACAAGGGTGTAATTGTGATAGATAAGAGGATGAGGTTTATGCCTTTGATTGAGTAATGATTTAAAAAAAAAGAGATTTCATGAATTGCACAGGATTATAATAACCCAATAAGATGAATCACGTTGGTATGCTATGAAATACTGTTGTTGAAGTATAGTATCATCCCTAGGTAGATCAGGCAAATCACTTCAAATGTTCCCCGATGTGAAGTGAGCCCTAGTGACAATATATTACGCAAGAGGTTTCAAGTTATCAGTTATAGATTATATATCAACATTAAGGTGAATCAACAATGGATGGATAAAAGTTACAAAGTATTAGACGAGATTAGGCTGTCATCCTTAAGATGAATAGTAATGAAAAAGCATTAAAGGACTTAGATTTATGATACATGGTAAGCAACGAGAGTATCCTAGAGTTGAGTAGCAGACCTCAGTAATAATAAACTGAAGTAAGTGTTATGGTGTAGTATGACCTACCTAGATGCAGTAAAGCCATGAGGATAGATAATCAAGGCTATTAAACAAAATATAGCAATAGTCGTAAGTTCGACAAAGTACCGAGCGAATAATATTAGTACACCTACAGATTTCCATAGGGACAACTTATCATAGTACTGCATATGTTCACAAAGTGAGGACTAGAGATTGGCTAAAAGCTGGAGGAAAAATGAGAGAAGATAGCATAGGCGCAGATACAAGGACAGAGTCGTACAAGCTGCATGACATAAGGTAGCAACAGTTACGACATTGGAAGAATTTCGACCACAGGTTGTGGTATGAGAAAGAGGCCTAAAGGGGGGAATGCCATGGCCTTTGAATTTATTCACAAAACAGTTACCTAGATGGCAAGGACAGTGCCAAATTATTCATAAGAGCTATCCGGTTATGAGACCGATAAGCGCATCCGTCAACATTCAAGGACGAATGTTCCTAAGGGGGGAATAATGTTATACCCTATGTTTTCATACATAAAAGTACATCATAAGTCAATTGATGTAAGCTTAAACATGAGATCATCTTTGAAAGTAAATAAATTAAGTTAATAATGTTAATTTGGAGGTTACAAATATTAAAAATCATGGATAACAAGTATCAAGAGGGTTAGAAGGCTTAGAAACTAAACAAATTGAAGAAAATAAGTTTCGTCGAAAGTTCACATGAGGCTAAGCCAAGATATTTTTATTTTGTGGGAAATGCATTTAAATCAAAATGTTCAATAAACTGAGATCACAGTCCATAATATACCGACCATCATAGAAGATGTAAGGTTTCTTGATTGAAAGGTTCAAATTTGTACGAATTTGAACTGTATCTAGAAGAATTCCTTATTTTTGTCCATTACCAATATCACAACATTAAAACCAAAAAGATTGAGACTAATCAAAATGGATTTAAGTTTCACTTTACATATATTGTGAATAAAAATTCAATGCACCTATGTAATATGTATAGTATAACAGTTCTACAGAAGAATTATCTAATTGACCTCAACTATTTCGAGATTGAGACGTAATTAATTGACCGAATAAAAAGAATTCAAAGACATCAACAAAGGTGGCTTACCATAATGCGGGTGACGTTTGAACAACCAGTATTTTCGATCTTCATACTACAGCAGAAGTGACAAAGACTAATCAGAAAAAGTAGTTCTAAGAAAAATAAAAAATAAATCAATTTTGGGCCATGAAATTTTTTGCATATGGAATAGAACTAAATAGATTTCAAAGGTCATAAAGTTTTGACAGGAAATTCATATACAAATATCGGATATTTTGAGATTTTTCCATCTCCTGGCTACCAATTGGTACAACTTTTCCTTTCTAGTTAGAATACTTCATGGACAATTACCAAACATTCCGATATTTTTGTTTACATCTCCGGCAACAGATCGGTACAAATTTTCATTTTTCTCTACTCCTTTTTCGTCTTTGCTTTTGGTAGAACAAATGGAGGAGTGGAAGGGTCTGACATTTTAGTCCGTTAGACTGCAGGACTTATTTTCAGAAAAGTCCAACTAAAATAATTGAAACTAAAATCCTCAAAGTGTAAGAAGGCAATTTATGAATATTTCGTCAAAGATTAAAGAGTCACATAAATAATCTTAAAAATAGCCAAAAGAAGCACATTTGATTGCAACAATTAACCTAAATTCAAGAAGGGAAATAGAGTATATTTGATATAATTCACACAAAATACCAGGACAAGATGAAAGAAAACCTAAAAATCTCAGAAAGAGAAAAAGGGAATTTACCTATTGAAGTAAGTAAAGAAGAGAAAGAAGCCGCTGAAAGCGTTTCAATAGAAGAGCAAGAGGAGTGAAACGATGTATTGCCGTATTGGAACAAATAAGAGGAAGAGACGCAATTAAAGTGACTTTTCGTTTTTTAGTATTGCACATAAATAGGTAAAATAGGGAAAAGCTACAAAAATTTGTGATAAAGGAAAAATATGTATACTGATTGATAAGAGGTGCCACATCAAATTTTTTGGGCTCTGCTTTATATATATATATAGATTGGCAACTGCGGACTCCGCTTTCCACCTAGGCTCCTCAAGTCCCTTTTTTACTTCCCGTAATTCTCTCATCTTCTCTAATTATGAGTTTCATTTTCTTTGTGAAAATGCAAGATATTCATAATTCATAAATTGTGAATTTCAGTTTATATCTTAGATATATTTTATTCCCTTATTCACCCAAAATCGCAATTGTTTTGTCTTCTAGGTTTTGTTGCAGTTATCACTTTATTTCTTCTAGGCCATTTTTAAAAACTTCAAATTCTTAAAAAAATAAAAATTGAGGATTCTTTCACTTTTTTCATTTAGAAAAACGATAAAATAAATTCTCTCAAGCATAGTTCTAAAAAGTGAAAAAGTCAAAAAGTTTATTTTGTAATCTTAGACTATTCAAAAGAATGAGGAAAAAAATTTATCCTTTTTCTAGAAGACTTCTAAAGGAGAAAATTATTGTTCTCCTTGGTTTGTCACGCCCCAAACCTAGGGAGTCGTGGCCGGCACCCGGTGCCATATTTGGCCCGAGCATACCACTCTGTAACTGAGAACTCTGAAGGGGTAACACTCAACTTAGGCCAACGACGCCACCATAAATGTCTACAACCAGCAATACCAAACTAACATGTGCACCAACTGGCAAGGCTACAATACGAATATATAAAATATACAGGACTCGTCTACAAACCTCTAGAGATAAGTGAACTTCAAGGTCGGGACAGGGTCTCGACCTACCCATCAAACCTGTATATATAAAATGGACTCCAAGGTCTAGACCTAGTAACTCCGAGGAAGTGGAGCTCACCAACCAAGCTAATGTTTAAATTTGTCTACTGGAAAGGTCTACCTAGCTGTCTATCAGGACCTGCAGGCATGAAATGCAGCGTCCCCAGTAAAATAGACGTCAGTACGAATAATGTATAAAAGGGAAGGACTACGAATAATGTACGAATAATGAAAGAAACATGGAGTAAAGGACTCAACCTGTAAGTCTGAATAGCTCTGTGAATCATGAAATATTTATAATGTCATGCATATGCATATCAATGTCATATCATGCATAGGTATATGCGTACATAATATCATCAAGCCTCTGAGGGCATCCCATCATATCATCTCGGCCTCAGTGGGTGAAATCATTAACGTATGCCAGCTGATCAAGTGGTGGTGCATATATAACGCCATAACCTTTTTCTATACCCCATATACATATAATATACGTGTATATAATGTCATCTGGTCATGGGTCGATATACATGTATAAATGAATGCAATGCATAATGAAGTAAGTCAATAAGATCTCTCGGAATGTTATAAGATCAATTTGCCTTCGATTAATATCATGAAATAAGCTTTATCAACTTATGTATTTTCTGAGACCCATGAACAGACGATATAATAATAGGACATATGGGGAATCAACAACATAGGCAACCCTAGTACTTCTAAGAATAAAGTCATTTGTGAAAATTGCGCATTTGCTCGTTTCGTTGTATCATATGGATTATGCCAAAAGGAAAGAAGGGATAGCCTTAATATACCTTAACCCCGTTGAGTCCTTAATACCTTCCAAGCAACTCTTCAAACAACTCAACTCAATCAACCGTAGCATAAGGAGATTCAAAATCAGTGCCGAGTAAAGGCTAAGTTTGTAACTTAAGCTATTATCTCGTTGACATAAATTCGACAACATATCCCTTGTAACAAGCGCCTCCTCCATTACCATATACCAACATCAAAAACAACAACAACAACAAGAGAAATCCAGCAACATATAAATATCAACAACATGACACCATATAACAACAAGAAGTCACAACTACTTCACGACGAGCGGCAAGCTCCGATTGGAACTCGTATACCCCATATCACCCCTTATAGACTTCTTACTTTAACTTAACAGTATCATTAACATGATTGTGAAGTCATTCATCAATGATTCCAGTCTTATATCATATATTTATAACAAAGAAAATAATCCACAACTTCAACTATCCTCAATTAGCAACTTTATTCACTAGTTCATGTCTAGTCCATCCATTTAACTTACTCAACATTAAGATAACCTTAAGCACATGCAAGAACACAACATAAATACCTCCTACAGTAGCTTCAAGTTGAAATCCAAGTTACATTTATCTTATAACAGCCCTCAATGGCAATACAACACCATAGAAGTAACTTAAGCAAATCTTCACTTTCAATCTCAAGTTTCATATGTTTCTTTCACCAATTCACTTGATAAACTTATAGACATGCATAACAACAGAAACCTTATCATAATCAAGTTATTTTTCCCATTTTTCATCCATAACAACATATATATATATNATAATTAACCTTAAACATCATCAAAAAGATGTTAAACATACCTTAGGCAGTAGATATATTTCGAACCCTAAGCTTAACTTAGCTCACCATCATCCTTATTCATATCACAACACCGTAGAGGGATTATTTTTCACCTTTGGCTAACTTTGATGTTGGATCATGGTGTATTTTTTTAGAATTTGTTTGGAGCCTTTGTGGAACTGTTTGAGGGTGGAAGGAGGACTAAAAATGAGCAAAGCTCATCCCAAAAACGAGATAAAAACAAGTAAAGTTCGGCCACCGATCAAGTGGGTCCCATAGGGGCTTCCCGCGCAGTCTCGCAAAAATACAAATATCTCTCTACACCGATGTCGTATTGACGAACGGTTTAATACGTTAGACACTAGACTCATAGATCTTTAATTTGGCATGTGTATCATTCCTTAACTATAAGTATATTGGAATAAAAGCTCAGCTACATGTGACCTAATGTTTAGCACATTATGAATGTAACTTGTGATGGCCTTTGCCAACTTTTGTTCCACAACTCGCTTGACTTCAAAACATAACACACGACTATCATACGAATAAAATAAATCATAACATAACCTCCTTAGCATGTTAAGAACCCTAGTCTCACCCCAAAAGTACACGTTATAACATTTCCAACTTATAAATCAGACTCGAGCTCGAAGATGAGACATCGAGCCAAGAGATCAAAGTGTACGTTGAGACCGAGGCCAGCAATAATCGAGATCAAGTATGACCGACTTCGAGGGGAGCATAATAACGGAATGGCGAGATATTAGTAACCGGTCGAAGATCACGGCGTGAATCTCCGGACGGATATCCGTGATTGGTCGAAGATCATGGCATCAATCTCGGAACGGACCAAATCAGAAGCGGTTAACTAGCTGTTTATACGATTTTCTTCTGTAATTAGAGACATACCATAATTAAGTTTTCTCTACTATATAAAGAGGAGTTCCAATCATTTGTAGGGCATCATAATTCACTGATAAGAATATACATATATGCTGCTTACTTTGTCTTACTTACTGTTCATCACTGCTTGTTCCATCCTCTGCTGTTCCTATTAACTAAACCTCGAGACTATCTCGAATCGAGGTCGAGGCATTGTTTGCAATTGGTTTAATTTATTTTATTGTCCAATTTATCTATTTAATTCGTTGTTTATCAATTGTTGCTGGTTTAAATCATATATCCTTAAAACCACAATATAAGTTTAATTGTTACTCAATTTTTAGGGTAAACAACACTATATCGACTTATCCAAAGGCGCAAAACACAAAAGAAAATACAACAACTCGAAATCAAGGTTCAATTAAACTTATGAACTCTTAAAATCCTCAAGTTTCATTTCGTGGAGTACTAGTGCCAAATTGCATCCGAGCGCCTCAGGTCGCAATCCGAACATGCTTACAAGTTTAAAATCATCATACAAACCTATTGTACCTTCAAACTATGAATCTAAGCTTGTTTACCCATATTGTTAACTTTGGTCAACTCTATATTTTTTAAGGCTTTTAGTTAATAAGTAGGCATACCAAAATGCTCCCGAATCCTTCGGGATCGGAACCACACACGCCCGCAAGTTACAAATTACAAAATAAACCAGTAAAATCTCAAATAAGGGAACCTGGTGGTAGAACTCAATGCGACCGATTGAGTCGTTTCATGGCATGTCTCTGATGGCTTCTCGTTTAGTACTGTTCAACTATAGCAAAAGCTAAAAATAATTTTAAACCATCAATGTTAAGGTTGAGGTGTGAAACAAAAAGTTTTCTAGACTATCGGGGAATTCTACTTGATGCACTCGAGTGGGTAGAAAATACAAAGAATTGGTGAACCTTAGTCAATCGGCCATAAAATTTCGCAATAAGCTTTTCACATTACGTAACAAAAATCGGATATCATAATCCTTTAAAAACTTTCGTCAAACAATCTTTTGAATATTATATACTGCAACTTAATAATTAGAGCACTTAATGGGATTTGTATCAGCCATTAAAAAGTAGTCAAAAGCTTAACCATTTATAGTTACCCTTTAATTTTATTAAATAGATGGGCAACTAACAGGGGCTGAGATAAGGGTGCAAGGGTTCTTTTGAACTCTCTCCACCAAAAATTACTAAGGTTAAAAATATTTTTAAGTATATATAATAGATGATGAATCTTTTTGGCTTCCTTGTATATTTATTTATATTTTGAATCTTCTTAGTGAGAACCTTGGCTTCACAACTAAAAGTTAAGGTGACGTTATTTACTTGATCTACCATATTCTAGTTTTAGATGATATCTATCTATATATAATAGGAGATCCGTAAAATAAAGTTAGGATCATCACCAAAAAAATCAGTTTTATAAAGCAAAATAAATAAATAAAACACTTAGAAAAATCAAGGATAGGATGATAAGTGTCATCACCAGAAAAATCTCAATTTTAAAAAGTAAAATAAATAAATATAACACTTAACAAAATTAATAAATAAAAAATTGCATGGAGCAAAATACATAGCAAAATTAGTAAATTAAAAAAAAAGATACGATGACAAGTGTCATCACCAGATAAATTCCAATATTAAAAAATAAATAAATAAAATACTTAGCAAAATTCAAGGAAATAGTA